GAAAAGGAACTTAGTTTTCATTCAAAAAGTAAAAATAAAAAAAATAAAAAAAATACAAAAATACAAAAATAAAACAAGAAGATTATAAACATATTCCATGCTACTCTAGCCCTAACCTAGTTAGGAATAACCAAAATAGCTTATGAATTGTCAAAGAAACTTAAACATAAAGTAGGACTCACATACCTACATGTTTAATTATAAGGAAAAATGGCACTTTTTACCCCTGAGTTATATACTTATAGCACTTTTTCCCCCTCAATTATTTAGGTAAGCACATTAGCCCCCTCAATTATTCTAAAAGTGATGCTTTTTCTCCCTAATATATTAAATTGACATTTATACCCTTAAAGTAAACATTTTATTTATTTTACTACTACAACAAATTATTGCGTATACGTAGGGATGACCACGGTTCGATTTGAATTGAACCGGATACTAAAGCAATCGAATTAATAGTTTACGGTTATAATTCAGATCTAGAACCCAATATTTAAATGTCAATTTATTAAAATTATGTATCAAAAAAATTGAATCTTGAACCGTGAACCGGCGGTTCCGGATCTGATTCCCGGTTTTGAACCGTCTTTATTTTAAAATTTTATTTTTTATTTTAAAATAGTCTAAATTCAACAATAAATGTATTTTATTTTTCAATTCGGAACATGAATCGTCCGTTCCGGTTCACGATTTTAATAAACTCTAAATATCGAATTTCGATTCTAAATTGTAATTGGAATATTTCGGTTTGGTTGCTATAGTGTTTGTTTAGTTTGAACCAAATTATGGTCATAATTTGTTGGAGAAAAAAATAAATTAAATATTTAATTTAAGGGTAACTATGTCCATTTAACATTTCAGGGAAAAAAACGACCACTTCAATAATTTAAGGGAAAAAAATGCTATAGGTATATAACTCAGGGGGAAAAAGTGTCATTTTCCCTTTATTATAATCTTCAAATCTCTAGAAACTCAAAATAAGAAGGTTACATAGAAATTAATCTTAGTTTTTAATAGTCTTAAATGAAATCAATCAGATTTTGATGAGAGAGTTATAACCAAATATCAAAATATGTGCAATTTGTTTAATGTTATGAAAATAATCTTTTAAATTTTATTTGGACTTTATTGATTTTTTATAATAGATCATTACTCGAATAGAATCTAACTTGCGGACATATGAATTTAAACCAGATTGAACAATTAAGCTATTCTTCACCTCATCACTTAGGAGTTTGGTTGGATGATTTTTTTTCTCGAGGAATTAGAAACAAAGAAGAAAGTTGTTTTCAAAAGTGAAAATCACGCATGAACAGTAGTAGTCCACCCATCGACTCCAGCCAGGGTTTTTTTTTTTTTTTTTTTCCCCTTCTTTCTTCCTTATTTTCTTCTTTCTTCTCTTTCAAACTCCATTTTCCTTCTCTTTCAGACTTTCACACCCACTCCTTCTCTACTTTACATTTCTTTCATTTTCCGATCTGATTTGCTGCTGATGCTACCAGAGAGACGAAAGGTGCTGCCTGAGGAGGATCCAACGTCGCTGCCCACCTCCGGATCCACATCCTCTCGCCACCCAATCGGAAAACCCACAAAAGAGATCGTCGGAGTTCACAAAAATCAAAATCTTATACTATATATATTTGTGAAATAATGACAAAAATCAAAGTAATATATAATTTATGACAAAAATCAAAATATTATACTATACGTTTGTGAAATAATGATTAACTTCAAAAAAATTAATTAAATAAAATTGATGTAAGTACTTAGTTATTCCAGATATTACTAAAAATTGTTCAATTAAATCAGTGTACTATAAAATTGGTCAATTTATCTCATTTGCTATTAAAAGTGACAAATTAAGTAAAATCATTAATGCATTTAGTTAAATTGTTACATATGCTAATGTGACTAGATTACATACATAGAGGTAGTGTGGCTACCAAATCACTAATTAATAATATGTTAATATAAAAATATTTAACATATCATGTCATTAATAAGAATTGAACCCATGACATAATAATAATAATAATAATAATAATAATAATAATAATAATAATAATAATAATAATAGTAATAATAATAATAAAATCAAAGCCAACTATAGTAATTTTTTAAATTTTATTTGGACTTTATTGGTTTCTTATAATGGATCATTACTCGAATAGAATCTAACTTGCGGACATATGAATTTAAACCAGATTGAACAATTAAGATATTCTTCACCTCATCACTTAGGTGTTTGGTTGGATGAAATTTTTTTTCGAGGAATTAGAATTCCTAAAATTTGAGGAAAAATATGTTAAACTTTGTTTGGTTTATGAAAATTTCTTTCTAGAGAAACTTAGGGGGTGTTTACTAACAGAAAATTTTCGAGAATTTCTAAAAATTGAAAATTGAAAATTGAAAATAGTAGCTTGGTGTTTATTATGTTGTTTTCCCATTTCCAAAATAGAGAATTATTCTCTACGCGCGGTGGCCATGATTTCCCTTTAGTTTCAAAGACACAGTACATCACTTTGTTTCTATGAAACTGACGTAATGAATTGTATATCATCGTATATTGTACTGTGTATTGTTTTTATCCCATAATACAAACATTCATTATTATAACTTTGATTATAATAGATTTTACTGATATATATATATATATATATATATATATATATATATATACACACACACACACACATTCACGTAAAAACACTCCTTAAAATAAAAACGTGTGGACTCTTTATCACCGTTTGATTTGCGTTTAGACGGTTAGGATTGTATTTATCTTTATGCGTTGTTTTAATTCTTCCGTTAGTTTTTATTATTAGCATGGGGGTAGTTTAGGGTTTTTACTACGGGTGATCCTAGACAGATCCGATTTTTACTCCACAGGCACACGATTATGTTGTAGCACTACCGTAGTTCTCTTTCTCTCTCTCATTTGCTCATTTTATGAAGTTGGGTGTGGCGACGCTGTAACACAAGTTTGTATTTAAGAGTGTTTGTCCCCCTCTTTTTGCCATTGAACCTCCCAATCAAATTCGTCGTAACACTCATACTGATCGATTTTACGAAGACCCCATTCGATTCCCGAAGCTCGTAGCATTGGTACCGATAAAGTTTCAAAAATAGATAATTTTGCATCTAATTGTATAAAGGCGGACGCAGATCTATGAATAGGAGACGTTGTATTAGTATCTACAGGACCTAAATTATCAACTGGTCATTCGAGCACGTTGAAAATTCGTCCCAGAGTCGATCCACTGACCGGAACACTTATAGGAGCTCCCGTGTCAATCACTTCCATATATAGGCCAGGTTGCATTCACATGCAAATACTCTTAAAATACAAATTTGTGGACAAAATGAGACCATATGATTAAAGGGGTTGGGCGGCTGAGATTAAGATGCTAATCAAATAGCATTCAGATTAAAAATTTAAAAAGGGGTAGAAAAGACAAAGCATTCAAATTTTAAATATGGCTAATATCATAATTCGATATTATGCAAGATCTTAGGAATTTTAATTAAAGGTAGAATTCGATTTTCCTTCAGTAATGGGTGTGGCAGTAGACGAAGAGTTCACGCAAGGCGTTCCCGGAGTAGAGGAAAAAGACGATGGCGACTTCAAAAACGGGTAAGCACTTCTGTACGAATGACGCTGTGTTGGAATTACTACACTATTTAGTATTATTTACTGTTAATTATACGTTGGGAGGGATTAATGGATTAGCACAACAAAAACATGAAGTTAGGCCTTGGAATTCATCATGGGTATTAAATAACCAATTTGTGATGTATTAGGGGTTGATAAATCTGGGGATGATAATGGGTAGGGAATAAAAAAAACGAACGCCAGATGGGTGTTATGCAACAGAGATGGGTAGAGTGCACATACGTAGATGGGGAATTGCACAAATGATATACTATGTGTGCACAAATAGTTTTATCACTTTTATGTGTGTGCATAGGAAATCAGAAGTGTTAATTGTCGCAAATCGTAAATTAATACTCCGTAGCGTAAATTAATACTCCGTAGCGTGCACTTAAAAATCAGCCGTAAAGTACAATGTTTTTTTTTAATTATTATTAATGTGTGTGCACTAACAAAATTGATGCGATTTTATTTCAGATACAAACTAGTCTTTGTCCTATTTATGGGGGTGGACAAAAATAAGAAGTCAATAATATTTGGAGCAGGCCTTATTGCCAAAGAAGATGTAGACTCCTATGAGTGGCTTCTGAACAGTTTCAAAACCGCCACGCAATATGCACCTCAATGTACCGACACAGATATATAGACTGTCATAATGTTTTAAACACGAATATATAGACTTTGAAATAGATGGAGTGTTTAATGTTTGCTTGCTTAAATGAATTATTATTTATTAAACTGAAGGATATAGTATTTGATTTTGTATGTAGTATGCTTGCATGGAACTAGTCTATAGGGGATTGTGTGAACACAATACTGGAAGCCAGTGCACACAGCAACCAACTGGATAAACAAAAGCGAGCATGGCGAAGTGTAATTCGAGACAATGAATTACATTATATGAAATTGAAAGATAAAGACACTGATTTTGAAAGTAGTAGCCATGGATGCAACAACAATGTTTGCACCATTGCCCACACATTATTGCTAATCAGGAAAATGGAGCAATAACATTGTGTTCTAAAACTGAAAGTACTAATTTACTACATTATTTTCTTGTTTCTCCTTATCATCAAGAATACAAAATGGAGATAAGTTCAATGTTCCAGGTGTGTGACATAATTTATAATGTTGGCAAAGAACTAATCAATATAAATTCGTAGATTTGGACTCAATTTGGGTAGTAGAAAAAAAAATAGTTGGCCGGCGGCACACACTTATATGTAGATTTGCACACGGGTTCATAGTGTATAAACCAATCAGGAATAATACCAGTTTCAGCTGGATGCTAATAACCAAAAACATATTCTAGTAGGAAGTAAATGCAAAGTATTAGAGGCAGTAAACTCATCAGTTTATACAAAACTGGGGAAAAACCTAGCAGTTTGACAATAAGGATTAAGTGTATATAAATATAAACTGACAAAAAGTAGCCCACATCATGTGGACAAAAAACAATCAGACCAAAATGGAGAATAAATAGTATATACAACAACTGCATGTAAGATCCTTCAAAAGCACGTGGAAAACACATGTCTACAAAGTATGATGAGGAGCCGAGATAGACTGGTACGCCCGACATAGGTTGCGTGATTTGTGCACATTAAAGTCAAACATAGGTTGACTCGGGTTGGACGTCTGAAAGTCTAGCCGAGATGAAACAAATCGGTGCCGCACAAATAAGCCCTTTAGAACCAGCAGGGTGATCGCCTCCATTACCATTTAAAACTCCCTGCACACAGTGCGCAAAAGTAGTTGAAATATGAATTGAAGAGAACATGCACACACTAGGATAAAGTTGTGCACACAGCATACACGTAGCACACATCTTAAAAATATCTCCAAAATACCAAAAGGATAGAGCCCGTCATAGCATCATTCAACTATGCACAAAATTGTGAGTGTGTGTGGACGCATGGCCATGTGTGGCTTATATAAACTAGACTGTGCACACCAATAAATAGAAATGGTTAATTAAAAAAAAAAAAAAAAAAAAAGGAATGTTACCTCATCAGGAGAAGCAAACTTTGGACACTCAGAAAGATGGGCTACAACCACGTCCTTGATTCACGATCTGAGAAGCAGACAGAAGGCCTTTGTTCCCATCTTTGTAATGGCTGCTCACATTGGTCGTCCAGGCACAACCACCATCTTTAACATTCTCATTTTCGTACTCCTAAAAAAAACAATGCTCACATTTATTAAAAAACATAGCACACATGCATTAAAAATAGTACACAACTAAACCATTAGTCGAGCTGTAGTGACCACAAACCTAGCAAGAGAGCACACACATACCAAAACATGCACACACCTACCCCAAAGCCAAAGAACTTCAGAATACGCACAATCACAGTGACATACATACATTCCTCGGGCAAACACACTGCAGACATTATAACCCACCAATGCACATACCCTATCCAAACGGCCAACCACGAGGAGAAAAATTAAACAGACAACTATACATACAACTCAAAAACCAAACTGCTGACACCATTAGAACTGAAAACACATATAAGACCATATCCTAAGGTAATACATACATATATATCAAACACGCAATACATACATATATATATATATATATATATATATATATATATATATATATATATACATATATATATATATATATATATATATATATATATATATATATATATATATATATATATATATCATTAAGAAAAATACTCCCACACATTATATTGTTAAACCATGGACCAGAAAGCACAACAAATATATACCATTTACCATCAAACACAACAAATATATACCAGTACTATATATGTCATACTGCATTTCAAATTGATCATTGATTTTGAAGATTAGGGGAAATCGTCAGCATGCAGAAGGGAGAAAACACCCTTAGAGGATTAAAATAAAATATATCATATACACACAGGAACATATACTATCACTCAGAAATGGCAAACAGCCACCCTCAAGACCGAAATTAAACTCAGAATTTTCAAGAGAAATTAACAAAAATATACCCCTACCGAAACACCTAAACACAATTTTTTGAAAAACTACAAAAAAAAAACCCTAGAGATACAAAATTCGGCCAGCCATTAACCCCCTAACCCAAAAGTCGACTACGAAATACCGAGAAGCATGAATACCACCAAAGAAAATGACAACACACACACGGAAAACAAGAACACAACAAAAGAAATCGAAAAACGCCAAAAGGGAGAAAAATTACCTCTGCCGACACCCCGACAAGGTGGTCTCCGCCGCTTGCCTCTACTGCGATCATCAATGACGACCATCTGGCTTGTGGACAACTGCGAAGGAGAATCAAGGTCACAGGATGCGAAGAACGAACGGCGTCGCCACACCCAACTTCATAAATGAGCAAATGAGAGAGAGAGAGAGAGAGAGAGAGAGAGAGAGAGAGAGAGAACTACGATAGTGCTACAACATAATCGTGTGCCTGTGGAGTAAAAACCGGATCTGCTTAGGATCACCCGCAGTAAAAGCCCTAAACTACCCCCATGCTAATAATAAAAACTAACGGAATAATTAAAACAACGCACCGTCTAAACGCAAATCAAACGGTAACAAAGAATCCACATGTTTTTATTTTAAGGAGTGTTTTTACCTGAATATTTAAATCTCTCTACAGTATTCTCTTTCAGACTTTGGGTCAAGAAAGTTGTTTTCAAAAGTGACTCGAACCCACAATCGCTTGATTAAAAGTCAAGCGCCTTATCCATTAGGCCATGGGTGCCTCAATGTATTGTTAGGACCCTGGGTCAAGAAAGTTGTTTTCAAAAGTGAAAATCACGGCGTGAACAGTCTTCTCTTTCAGACTTTCACACCCACCCCTTCTCCACTTTACTTTTTTTTTTTTTCAATTTAAAAATATGATATTATTATTCTAATGTGTTTTGAGGTAATGGTAAATTATATATAATGCTAACAACTATTATTATTATGATTTAACACATGCCCAATGGGACTCAAACCCACAATCGCTTAATTAGAAGTCAAACGCCTTATCCATTACGCCATAGGCGCCTCAATGTATTATTAAGACCCTGGGTCAAGAAAGTTGGTTTCAAAACTCAATGTATTATTAGGACCCTGGGTCAAGAAAGTTGGTTTCAAAACTCAATGTATTATTAGGACCCTAGGTCAAGAAAGTTGTTTTCAAAATTGACTCGAACCCACAATCACTTGATTAGAAGTCAAACGCCTTATCCAAGAGCGCCGCATGATTTAACACGCCCAATGGGACTCAAACCCAGAATCGCTTGACTAGAAGTCAAGCGCCTTATCCATTAGGCCATGAGCACCTCATTTATTAAGCTATGGGCATTTACTAATTATTCTAATATATTATGAGTTCAAATTCTTGTTAATGACGACATTTTAAATATTTTATATTAACATATTATTAATTAGTGACTTGAGAGTCATTTATTTCCATTGAATTTAGCCACATCAACATATTTAGCCGCTTAATTGATGATGTTAATAATTTTTACTTTAGTATTTTATTTGTAATAGTATAAGAATTAAATTGATCAATTTTATGCCAAAGACCTTGTGGTCAAGTGCCTTATCCATTAGGCAATGGGCGCCTCAATGTATTGTTAGGACCCTGGGTCAAGAAAGTTGTTTTCAAAAGTGAAAATCACGGTGTGAACAGTCTTCTCTTTCAGACTTTCACACCCACCCCTTCTCCACTCAACTTTTTTTTTTTCTCTTTAAAAATATGATATTATTATTCTAATGTGTTTTGAGGTAATGGTAAATCTATATTCTATACTATATATAAAACCAAAATCCTGAAATTTTAACTTCCCGCTCAATTCCTAAAAAATCTCTTTTCCTATAAAATATATTGATTTCTACTTTCCCATTCGTACAATAATTCTGCTTTAAAATTCTATTCTAATATTATAAAATAGTGTAATACAATCTATCTATACTATATATAAAAACAAAATCCTGAAATTTTAATTTCCCGCCCAATTCCTTAAAAATCTCTCTTCCTAATAAAATACATTGATTTCTACTTTCCCATCCGTACAATAATTCTACGTTAAAATTCGATTCTAATATTGTAAAATAGTGTAATACAATCTATACTATATATAAAAACAAAATCCTGAAATTTTAACTTCCCGCCCAATTCCTATAAAATATATCTTCCTATAAAATATATTGATTTCTACTTTCCCATTCGTTTAATAATTCTGCGTTAAAATTCTATTCTAATATTATAAAATAGTGTAATATAATCTATACTATATATAAAAACAAAATCTTGAAATTTTAACTTCCCGCCCAATTCCTATAAAATATCTCTTCCTATAAAATATATTGATTTCTACTTTCCCATTCGTTTAATAATTCCACGTTAAAATTCTATTCTAATATTATAAAATAGTGTAATACAAACTATATCTATACTATATATAAAAACAAAATCCTGAAATTTTAACTTCCCGCCCAATTCCTAAAAAATATCTCTTCCTATAAAATATATTGATTTCTACTTTCCCATTCGTTTAATAATTCTGCGTTAAAATTCTATTCTAATATTATAAAATAGTGTAATACAATCTATACTATATATAAAAACAAAATCCTGCGTGTATCGCACGGATGAAAATACTAGTTCAAATAACATGTATAACTGTAAAATTTTATGAAATTAATTTAAGTGGTTTCAGGATAAGCCCTCAAATGCATTCATTCCAAAAAAAAGAAAAAAAAAAGGTGTAATAATTCTCTAAGCAATAAATGTTACATCAAAAAGTATAGTGATATCTTTGTGCACATGGTAGTGATGGTAGTGCTTGCCCTATATAGCACTAGCTATTAATTGAATGATCATGAGATCGAATTGATGCTTCTTTTCATGCAAAGTCTAAATGATATGATGTATATATGTTACCCCTCATAATTTTGTATATAAGAAAGCATGCATGCAATGTCCCCATTCATTAGTTATTTTAAGTGTAACATCTCAATCTTAGATAGTAGGTGTGAAGATAAAAACACATCACATTCATTTGTTAGAGGACTAGTGCAATATGATTGGATTTGCTTCGTTAACTAAACACATCTACAAAGATATTAATAGGTGGTATATATACTAATATCACACCTTCTTTCATAGTTACATTGATATTCTCTTATTCGGTTAGTACACGTTTGATGTCTCTCTTAACGGAATTCGTCCACCAAACTAATTTGTAAACTCTGTTAGTGTGATTTGTCCTAAATTTATATAGGGGTGTTTGGTAAATAGCTGTTAGTTTTGGATTAGTGAATTTGACTAGTTAATAGCATTAGTTGATTGTAAAAAGATGTTTGGTAAATTAGCTGATAGCTGATTATATGCATGAAAAATGACTTTCTCAAATACCTAATCGAAAACGCTGCTTTGAGCAGTTTTTTTTTTTTTTTTTTTTTTTTTTTGAATTTTAGCATTTTGGATCGATCAATAAGCTTTTACAAAAACTTAATAAATTAAACACTCATTTAACCAAGTCAAATAGCTAATAGTGATCAAATAAGTCAAAATTGACTAATAAGCTAACTATAATATCAAACAGAGCTATAGTCATTTTTTTTTGAGTGGGCCGGGGGGGTTAACATTCATTGATCACAGGTGCACTTACTTTCACCTACAAGTACACCGATTTTCACACAGGTGCACCTAGTTATTACTATATGTGCACCTAGTTCTGGACACGTGACGCGCCTTGATTGGTTCGCATATTCGCACTGGACACACCATGCGCACCAGAACGAGATTTTATATATATATATATATATATATATATATATATATATATATATATATATCTTTGAGGGCAACACTAACTGTCAAGTCAGAATGTGGAAGTGCTTAGGGTGAGCAACTCTAACTTTGTCACAAGGATTGAGTAAAAACAGTAGAGAACAGTAGCCAATCAGTTTCTAGTGTACGTATAGGCGTATAGCATATTGCAATTGTAGATGTGAAGGCATACAGAAATCCCCACTTAATAAGTGGGAATCATAATGATGGCTTCTGTATGAATTCAATTTGGTTTTAATTACTGAAGGCTTAACTTGAAACAATTAAATCAGATCTAAATTCAAGAATAAATCCATCGCCCCGGACTTCTCCCAAATAATTGGATCTCCAACCTAACTGTACTACACCCTGACTCGACAAAGTATTTAAGAAGGTAGTTCAGTAGTGACTCAATAGAGAAGGTCAAATATCAATATGAACACACAAGGGATGTATTTACTTTGGTCATAATCCCAACATTGTTGCTGTGGAATTTCAAATATTACTTATTGAACCGGTGAACTAAGTTCGTGCGGACACCATCGCCCCAAACTTAATGTAGTGATTCGTCGTCTGACTTGATGTGATGATGAAAGGTGGTAATGTGGAAGTTTAAATCTCATTATAAACATGAATGAGAAAAAGGCTATGGACAATTTCTTGTGCATTCATAAATACTAATAAGATCTGCCCGCATGGGTAGCTTAACTGGTCATAGAGGTGAAACTTTGGAAGAATGACGAGGGATCGAGTCTCACCAGTGGTAGTGTGGGAGCAACCTCTCAAAGTGAGGGGAGTTCCTTGTGCGTCGTGAGCACTGGTCATAAACTATAGTTTATGTTCAGTTGAGTCACTATGATTTACATCCTCCCAAATGCTCTATCGGGCCGAGGTGTGGGGGAGCCTTAAGGTTGAGATTCTATTAGTTTAGAATACATAATCCGAAAAAATTGAAGTCATCTAAAGTATTAAAAAAAAAAAAAAAGAAGAATCGATTTGCAGTCACATGCATGGAATTAATTAAGCTTGCCACCCACTTACACATGGCATGTATTTATTATTTAATAATATTAGGCAGCCAAACTGCCGACAACAACAAAACGTCTCCACCGCATCCTATATTATTTCCATCTCAAATCAAATCACTTCACATTTGTGATTCATCATTTTGAAATTTGTTTTTTATCCACGAGAAAACTTTTATGCTATATAATTCAACTTTCTTTTAAAAGAGTCTTTTATATATATATATATATATATATATATATATATATATATATATAGTGGTGCAAATCAACTTTAATTTCCAAACCAATATGGTACAAGTGTTTTTTACATGTCTTTCCACCTTTATTTTCCATTTCAAATGGGTCTACTTTGATAATCAATTTCTCATTCACTCATTATCCGTTTGTAGTGTACAATATATTGATTTTTTCGTTTCACTACGAAGAGTGTGAATCCACTTTGACCCGATCCAAATCAGTTGTGGACTCCACATATATTTGTACCACAAAATAGCTACTTAGGTCATCTCCAACCCATTACACTAAATTCTGCACCAAAATTTACAC